CCGCTGGAGGTCACACGTTCTACGATTCGGGGCAGGCAGTACGACAAGAACAGCAAAGGAGTGCTGGACAGGAGCTAGGCCGGGGAAAATGAGCAGGGAGTAAAGAGGCAAGGAGGTAAAGAAACTGTTTCAGGACCAGGGTCTGCATTGTGTACTTAAACGGCTGCCAGGGTGGTGTTGTACCGTGTGTATTTTCTGTTGAAGCACATTGTCCGACAGTGGCTTGTTTGCGCACAAGGGGCTTGGCTTTACCACTCTATGGATAGAACCCGGGAACTTGTGTTTCCAGGAATTTTCAGATCTGTGCATCCCAAACTCAGTCAGACCACAGACGGGGCAATGGGTCCCTGTGCTTGAGCTGGGATATCAAGAGTTGACCATCACCTTCTGGTTACACAGCTCACTGCGGGTGGCCACTGCTGAGCTGGCATCAGTTATGGAGGAAGTGTGTCCTTGATAACTGAGTGTGGAACCCAAATACTAGACAGATCTCTCTGCTGTCTCCTAATGGAACTTGTAACCAGGTCCCTTCACTTTACTTGTGAATTGGATAATTCTTGCCTTCCTGGAATCTTTCTGGAATTTTAAGCTTAAAAAGGTGTGTAGGTCTTAGGAGAGAGGAGGGTACCGATCGGGACTGCATAACGAGTACCAAAGTATGGTTACACAGGAAGGAGAGGGTTTTGTTTGTTTATTTTAAAGATTTATTTATTTATTGGAAAGTCAGATATACAGAGAGAAGGAGAGACAGAGAGGAAGATCTTCTGTCCGATGATTCACTCACCAAGTGAGCACAACGGCCGATGCTATACTGATCCAAAGCCAGGATCCAGGAACTTCTTCCAGGTATCCCACACAGGTGCAGGGTCCCAAAGCTTTGGGCCGTCCTCGACTGCTTTCCCAGGCCACAAGCAGGGAGCTGGATGGGAAGTGGAGCTGCCGGAATTAGAACCGGTGCCCATATGGGATCCTGGCCAGTGTGTTCAAGGTGAGGACTTTAGCCACTGGGCCACAGCGTCAGGCCCAGGAAGGAGAGGTTTTGAGGTTTCTAGTGCACACCATATGTTTATTTCAAATTGTTACCTATCAGTATATGCAATTAATACATGCTAATAAAAAAAACAAATATTAAAGGATAAAACAATTTACTATCTAGCTTAAAACAGGTGTGTGATAGACCAATGACTACTCTTGGGGACCTTAGGGCCTTGGGCACAAAGTATGCCAACCAGCAGAGCCCTGGACAGCTGGCATTCAGGAGCCTCTGTGACTGTAAATAGTAGTATGGGTGATGAGCTGACCTTTCCAAGACCCTGTTCTGGAGGGGCAGAAGCTCATGGGCTTTGGAGAACAGACGCAGAAGCGATGGGGATGAGGAGGACCTCTGTAGGGAGGAAGCAGCTTAGCAAAGGTCAAGCAGGGGGCAGTAGGAGGGGCGTGAACATCTCCAGCTCACCTTGGGACCCTCCCCAGAGATGGACAGACAACTTGAAAGCTGTCTCACAAGTGAGTGGGGCCTATGCCGCTGGAACCAGTTCCCTTCGGCCATCACAGAAGGCTCTGAGGTTGACTTGGCATCTGCAAGGCAGCCTGGTGTCCTCGGCCTTGGGCTCCCCAGTGTTCATCCACCTGTGTGGCTGGATTGGGTTGGAACAAGCTAATCAGTAATCACATGGATGGATCCTGCTGATCTAGTTTTTAGACATGGTGTGGAGGTGTGTCGGTGACTGCCCAGCCAAGGACCTGTTCTTGACTCCTTCAGATCATGGACTCCTGTGTTCTGGACACCCAGGTGACCAGTGGTTACCTGAGAGAAAGTGTTCACAGTTGAGATGATGTCACAGGGAGAGGAATCTAGCATCTGATATGACCAAATCGAGATAGGAAATCATGTTAGATCATTGAGTGTGTGGGGTTGGGCTCCTACCTTGTAACGCTTCCTCAGTCCCATGGACCACTCGACTGGGAATGTCTCAGAGCAGAAGGGGGATGAGAAGCAAACCCTTGGTCTGTGATAATTGTGTCAGCAGGAGGGGAGAGTCCTTTGAGAACCTATGCCGCTGGAAGGAACCTGCAGTCCTTCTCGGTTCCCAGGCCATGAAGAGGGAAGGCGCTCTGTTCAGTGATACGTGGCAGTGCCTTCTTCGTGTAAGCACCACCGTGTCCCTAACTCCCTGACAACAGTGATTCCCAGGCTGGCCGTCTTTTGAGAAGGCATGGTCCTGCCAGGTGTTTGCAAGAAGAACTTGTGTCCCCTTGTCAAATAAATGCCCCCTTGCCCCTTGGGCTTGCACATACATGTTCACCTGCCTTCACCACCAGCTTCCTCCCCCAACCTTGGGGATGCCCAAGCTGCCCTCTGAAGTCCACTCACGAGCCCAGTAAGTCATTCACTGCCATATCCCCAAAGCCAGGAAGGCTCAGTGCCTCTCTGGCAGTGGATAAATATGTGCTCTCTGTTTTTCTTTGCCTTGGCTGCCCAGGGGGACATGGGAACATTCTAATAGAATGACCACTGTCCTACCTGGAGGCCTCGACAGGGAGTTGTGATGGAGAATTGGCAAAGATGTCCCATAGTTGAAAGATGAGGCTCAAACTCATTGCTATCTGTTGTCCAGTGAGCCTTCTTGAATGGCAACAGGGGCTTTCATGCAAAGCTGGCAGGAATGCTGGCCAGTCAGGCACAAGTAGGCAGCATGGTTTGTGGCAAGGCCAACAGCCTCCCCCAGGGGTCAAACTGAGATTGCCTTGGGCAAGTCATAAAGGCCTCAAGCTGGAAGGAAGAAGGGCTGCTCCATCTGCCCACAGCCAGAGCTGTGAGCCACAGCCAGCGGTGACTGGAAGTGGTCACGATAGCAACTGTGAAGGCAGGTGGCAGGCAGATGTGCCCGTGTGGTGTGACTCACTTTGTGCCATCTGTGAATCCCTCTTGAGAAGGGCCAGTTCCGGATCAGGGAATACACCATGACCTCATTTGGCACAGTTGGAGGCACCCTCTGATATACCGTGCCTGGGTGCCATCCCTTGGGACCAGGACGGATGGGCAAAGCTTCTCCATGAGTCCGAGAGAATTTGTGGCACGTGTGGGGTCTGCTCTTCAGCAGGCAGGTAAGGGAACTAGCAGATTGCTGTACTCCTGCCTGTGACATCCAGCACTGGTTTAAATCCTACATTTAAATAGAGCCCGTTATCTCAGTGAACGACGTGCACAAATCCTTTTCCTTAACGTGAACGTGCCCCCAGCCCTACATGTGCATGCATGTTACTGTGCAAGAGGACCCTTGGGCAGGGGCAGCAGAGCCCAGCTAGCTCTGGCCTGGGGACTGCGTGCTTTCTCTGTCCTCATTCCCTTCTGGGTTCTCCTCACTGCTCTGCCTCTTGCTGTAAATCCTCCTGGAGACCTCAGTTTATCCTAATGTCCTGCCTGGTGTAACATTTCCTGGAAATCGGTCCCCTTCCCGAAGGAGCCAATTGTGGCTTGTCACGGCTCCATCTTAAGTGAGCCTGGAGTTTGAGGGGCCTGATCACACTGGATACACATGTGTGCCCAGGAAAGCTCCGAGGTTCACATCTTTGCAAAGAGAATTGCTGCCAAGTACCTGTGTCACTTACCAGTCTCCCCATACAAGGCTTGTCTTGCTGGAAAATAGTACAGGTTGTAACGTTTTGAAACCAGGAATCCTCAGTCTGTACCCAGACAAGGTTCAAAGATTTCAGAGGATTTGGTGTCTGTCCTTATAGCAAGCCCTGGGCAACTGCACTTGGCACTCAATAGAGAGAGACTTCTGGGTGTTGATTTACTTGTAGATTGGCTGACTTGGTAACCTGAGGTTGATGGAAAGCACTCGGCAGGGCAGGGGTATGTGTGGACACCATCACCATTGAAGTAGCGGAAGGCACAGTCGTTGCCTATGGCTGGCCTTCCATCGTCAGGAAAGCAGGGTAGCTGGTGGTGTCACCATGGGAGAGGACAGTAGGCTGTGTGGGAAAACCTTCCAGCTTTATGTCCTCAAGTCCTTGCTGCCTCAGGATGTGGGGAAAAGTGTTCATAAAAGTGAGTGGGGGTGCTCTGGAGGAGCGAGGGTGCTTCAGAAGTGCACAGGAAAGTGCAGGGGCCTTAGTGCAGATCGGGCCCTGAAATCCATGCTTCGCTTTCTCATAGTGAAGTTCCCCATGGACTTTGGAAGCACTCGGGACATGCTGGGTGGCTCCAGATGCCCATGGCTCCCCAGGTTGAAGTGCTACCCTCCTGGGGGATACCCTGGGCCCCCCTGCAGTGACTCAGGAGGGGTCCTGGGGCAGGCTCCCTGGTCTCCTAGAACTGTGAGGTACAGGGGTCCCTGTTCACAGGAGAAAGCCGGGACATAAAGAAGGATTCGACCCTTAAATCCCACCCACCCAGGAGGATGACGTCATGGGTATTCACACAGCCCATGTGGGTGCATGCGGTCTGGACAGTCCCTTGAGCCCAGCTCCCCATGGAAGGGGGAGCACAACTCTACCCCCTTTTTTGTCATCCTGGAACTTAGAATACAGAGTAGACCCGGTGTGGTCAGACTACCGCTACTCTCACAACAGCACCAGTGGATGGTGACGGACTGAAGGCCAGCGTGAGCCGGCTCTGACCCAGGTCCAACTGGGAGCCCCGGAAGCATGGACTTATTGAACTTGGCTGTGGGCCCTGTCTTCTTTCCGATAAGGATATTGATGAGAGTTCTTACAGAGCCTAAGAATTCACTCTCTCTTGCATCTTGTCGCCCAGAGCTACTGGTCAGGACTTTTATGAGATGCAGCCTGAGTCCATTCCTTGGTGGATTGACCACCTCCTCATCAGGGGTGAGGGCACTGCATGGGAACAGGTGTCCAATGTGGGCTTCACATTCGAGCCGTAGTACACAAGACATGCAGGGGCAGTTGGGCAGATGTCACCAAGGACTGCCCAGAGCTCCAGAAGAAGCTATCCTTGGTCCTAACCATGGTGTTGGCCTCGTTGTCTGCAGGTTTCCGTTCCCCATGGTGTTCAGCAGCTGTAGCAAGAAGGACTTGGAGACCAGCCTGGAGAAGGGAATGGGCATGTGCCTCTTCAACCTGCCTGAGGTCAAGCAGCCCTTCGGGGGCCGGAAATGCGGGAACGGATACGTGGAGGACGGAGAGCAGTGCGACTGTGGGGAGCTGGAGGTAAGCAAGCTGCCTCCAACATGGTCACCCTGCCCTTGGCTGGGAGAAGCAGCAAGAACTTGAACTTGGAGGGACAAATGGAGGCAGTGAAGTGAGGCTGGCAAAGACCCACGCAGCTGCCTTGACCAAGCCTCACCAGCAAGCAGGGTGTTCCGGAATGTTAACGATCACATAGAGTATACCATTTCACTTGATTTAAAGAGGAAATCTGTGTTTGAAGGGCACAATGTTCTCAATGAGATGAGGCCAGGAACAATGAGAAGTCATTTAGCTCTGAGTTTGATGGGAAGAAAGCCTTAGCTTCTGGCTTCCAATGACCCATCAGCACCATTCCGCACTCTCTAAGGATGCTACTGGAGAATTTGAATAAGCTGTATTCATTTTTCATCAAGTCAAAATTCTGGCCTTGCTGCGGCAGCTGCCTCTGTATGCAGAACTGTCTCTGCATGCGGAGTCCAGCCCCTGCCTTGAGCGCTGGGGAGCAGAGAGCCAAGCAGGTCACCTGTTTATCCATTCAGGCTCATTGCCCCCTGTTCTCCAGCCACAACGAGGGCATTTTTGCTGCCTCTATCTGGCATAAGAATGGGTTTTTGTTTCAAAGATTTCCTTTTTCATTTGAAAGGCAAAAGTTACAGAAGGAACTCCAGGGGGCCTTGTTAATTACTTGAGGAAAAATGAGATTCTATTACCCACGTGTTTCAGGAGGAGCCATGTTGACTTAAAATGGTTTCTCCTTGATTTGGATGGGGCCTTTTCCTTGCTGCGCTCTGCTCGCACACCGCTCTGCTAGGTCAGACTCTGACCTAGGTCTGACTCTGCAGGTCAGAGTGCTGGATAAACTCCTGGGCTTTGGAGAGAACACTCCTCATCCACACACCGTTCAAAATCCCACAAGAGCCTCTGCCTTTCACTTTGCAAAAGGGTCAAATTCAAATGTTGGCTTGGAAGTGTGACAGCTCGCGCCTGGCCCTCTTTCTGCTTCTAACCTGAGACTTCAGGCAGATGTGTCTGTCAGGGCTGTCCGCCCCGCGGCCTGAGCTAAGGCCCTGCACTGCCCGCAAGGCCTCCTCATCCAATGGCCCGTGTGTACCTGGTCCTGAGAGGGACTCAGCGTGTCATCCCTCAGGAAGTTGAGGTGTGATGGGTCAGCACGGCATCTCCCAGCACGTACTCCCTTGCTCTCAGGCAGATGCGTGGCCGTCCTCCCAGCCCATTGTGACCGAGCCTCTACACTGCCCTCCTACAGCCTGGACTGACCGTCAGGGTCTGCCCCAGGGCCTTCCAAAGCTTTCTAGCCTCTCTGCTGCAGACAGGCTCTGTCACATTCCCTGTTGTTCCCAGGATCAGCAGTGTAGCCACAGATGAAGTTTCTCCTCTGTGAACTATGGTACTGCAAAAGCCTTGGGTTTGGGGGTGCTTAAGACGCAAGCGACTGCTGAAGGCTTCCTGTGCAGGGCAACCTGCAGCTCACTGGCTCTTCCAGCTAACAGGGTCGGGAGAGCAGCCTTCTCTCCTTGTGTAAAGTCAGTAGGATGCCAGTAGCTTGCAAATATCTTTTAAGCTTAGTTCTCACTCTCACATTATCAATCCCCTTTGAAATCGAACCATTCTGCTTGGCTGCCTTTCCCTCCGAGCCGCCCTTTATGTTGCTTGGTGATTCAGAGGGTAGGAGAGAAGGGGTTTGAGGACCCAGATGTGGGACGGCAGATTCCACTTGGGATGTATCTCCATCAGCAGTCATGTATAGAGGCTCGCAGCTCATAAGGAGCCCTGTGGCTCTGCTGCGCATTCCACAGCCTCGACCAGGAACACAGTTCCTGGAATCTCTTAAAAAAGAAAAGTTCTCAGCATTTTTAGGTTTCTGAGCCCATGAATCAAACCCTTTCTGCCATGGAAGTTAACAGCCACAACTTCTGCCTGGCAGCTTTATCTTGGTGTATACATTACGCGTTCCGGATGTTTATGAAGCGCTCCGACACACCAAGATTTAATGACCTTGGAAGTGTGCGTGAAAGGAGCAAGCGGCCAGCGCCCAGAGGGAGCGTCATTCTTGGTCGTCCACAGGATACGGGTCAGGCTTCTCGCCGTGAATCTTCTGGATTATTGAGAAAGTCTTATAAATTGCATTTCTGATTCCAATATAAATTCATCCCAAAAAAGATGGTTTCTGGAGCCAGTTATAAGCCTAGTCAATTAGTCTAAGACCAACTTCACTTCACCCTTGCCAATAGCACATATATTCTTTAAGGTTCGTGCCACTGTGAGTAAAGTGTTTCAGACCGTAGATAAACAAGGCAGTAGGCTAGGATCTTTGAACTGTTCCATGTTATGATACAGATGGTTCCTTCTGGAACTTGATTGCTGAGCTATCGGAAGGCTCTGAAGAAGCGAGCTGTGAGCCCCGCCTGTGCCGAGAACCACGCGAAGGCGTCTGTGTGCTGTTGGTTTTGGGGAGAGAGACTTGGGGCCTCTGAAGCAAGCGTTAAGCTCATTCTCTCGCTTTGGTTCAGAGAACAATCCATCTCCTGTCCTACCTGGCTTCTTAAGTCCTTTGCCATTTGGGGCTGGTGTTGAGCACAGCTGTCCAGATGGCGCTCACAATGCCTGCGTCGCCTGTTGGAGGGCGTGGGTGTGAGTCCCAGCCCTGAACCCAGGCACCCTGGCAGGTGTTGGTGATGAGCAAGCAGAGTCCCTGCTAAGCACACGGGAGACCCAGATGGAGTTCTGGGCTCCTGGCCTCAGCCTGGCCCGGCCCCTACTCTTACAAGCAACTGAGGAGTGAACCAGTAGAAAGAAGATCTCTCTCCCCTTAAGTGGAAAAAAAATCCCTAACAAGTCAAAAGGCACAGCACCCAGAATTCCTTCCTGGCCTCTGGGTCTGTCCCTTCCTGCTCCGTGCTGGGCTTTGTCTGACCTGACAACTCCATACTGAGCCAGTGGCTCCTGCAAGGCTTCCATGGAGAACAGAGCTGCGATTCAAATACAAGTGGTTTCACTTGGTTTCCTGCCAGTAGGCTCTCACCAAAAGAGTTCGTTTCTGAAGAATAAGCATGACAGGTGTGGGTGTTTCAGAGCACATTGTGGCCAAGTTCTCCTGCGAGCCTGCGGCAGCTGAGTGCAATAAGCCCCACGTGGAGAACCCTGACATGACACCCAACCGGCTGTGACCAGGGTGGCTTCTCTGGCCACTTGACCTTCCTGTCCTCGCTCTTCACCTCCCTCGCTCAGCTCTCATGTGCTGCCAGCACTTCCAGGGACTCTCAGACTGCGTCGGCAGCATGTATAAATGCCTAGCTGGGGCCTGGTTTCGTGCAGATGGCAATAACACTCGGGCAGGTGGGCTTCCTCTCCAGACGCCAGCCCCTCCTGCTCTCTGTTCTGTGGTCACCTAAAGTGTGACCTTTCCATTTAGCAAGTTAGCTGCCCTGGCCAGCCCTGCCATCATACCCCTCTCTCCTCCCCAGGAATGCACAAACCGCTGCTGCAATGCCACCACTTGCACACTGAAACCTGAAGCTGTGTGCGCACACGGGCTGTGCTGTGAGGACTGCCAGGTGAGCGCTCGAGGCGGTGGAGGGGTGCTGTGTCCTGACCCCGGGGTCGCAGTCAGCCTTGGGGCCAGCGGTGCAGTGGGTGGGAAGGTGCTCAGGCTGGGCCGACTTGGGCTCCGTTAAGTGTGAGCAGGCAATGTCCAGCCCTCATTCTAGATTAGCTTCCCATCTTCCGGTGAAATGTGCATCGTCATTGCTAATCACCTGAGACAAATTACTTGTGAGCTGAAACTAATTGGACCAAAGAACCTGAGCTCACAACTTCATGTTCCTTTCCAGGCACGGGGAGACTGGTCCATGGGTGCTAAAAGCTATGCCAGTCCCCCCAGGACAGCCTGCCAAGGCCAGATGTACTAAGTCCGGAGCAAGCTGTTTATACCTGCCAGTGATGCCGTAAATATCCTGGGGCCCTTGGCAGAAAAACTGCTCTCCTACTGCTGCTCCCAGACGCACTGGGGGCCGGAAGGACCCTGCCTCCACAGCAAGGACACACTCCCCCATGTCCCTCAAGTCTCACCCCAGGTCCTTCTGCTTCATTCCGAGGACCTTGTCCTGGTGACCCAGGAACCATGCACTTCCTGGGATCTCACTTCCTCCCCACCAAGGGGTTGGCCAACCCAATCCATCTGAGAGTGGCTATCACTGCTGCCTCGGTATAGACCATGCTGGGCAGCTGAGAACAGATGTCCATGGCATGGGTCAGGGTTAAGTTAGCAATCAGTGTTGTCATCGTGGTGGGTGTCTGACATCTGACTTCCAGAGGCCTGAGTATGGCGATGTAAAGCCCCCAAGGATACAGCTGCATTTCCTTGCCATGGAGCAGTTCATCCTGGCATTCTGCTTACAGGAAGCTCCCTGCCCCAGTCCAGCACCTGAGTTACGACTAGGAAGTGCACTGGAATACTTATGTTCAATTTTAAGCTCCTAACAGTGAGGAGAACCTTAGGAACAGGGCAGGTCTCCCCACACCCAGCCAGTGACGTGCAAGGAGCATGGGAGAGGTGGGAAGCCAGGCTGAGCTTAAGACAGATGCCAAGGGAAGAGGCAGATGAGGGCCCTGTGATGACGCCTGGATGCAATCTACTTTTTGGCAGGTTCCCTTCCACCCCACAGACCTTCTGGAGCGGGGCAGGACTCTCACGGCTTCCGCGGTGTGCAGCAAATGGTTCCCAGGACATGGGGGTCTCTGGCTGAGTGCAGCAAAGCCACACTGAGCCATAGACTCACTGACCCAATGTTTCCAGCACCTTCTACCACATCCTTGCTTTGCTGCTGCTTTTACCAAGGAGGCTAATGAGAAGCTTCCGGTCCCAGGGTTGAGCAACAGTAACATGGCTGCCTTGATTTGTACCCTTGGAAGCAATCCTGTTGCCCTCTCATGCCAATGGCAGCTCAAAACATGTGGCAGTGTTGGCAGGCAGGCAGGCAGGCAGGCAGGCAGGGGGCTTTTTCCTAAGAAACCCCAGGCCAGCAACCAGGTCCTCTTCCCCGGAGGACACAGGTTCATGCGTGCCAGGGCGTAGCTCATCCAACACAGACCCTACAGTTGCCTGAAACTAACAGGAAACTGATCCTGGGCTGCTGCAGGATAAAGGTACAGTTGAGGCACAGAGTAGCACGCACGCAGTGCTCTGAATGCACCTGACCTGGAGACCTTCACTCCTATATACACGCAGCTGAGGGCAGCCCAACTGGCTCTGGGGCTGCAGGGGCTGCCTCCGTCTTTCCTATGGAGCTCACCTGTACTCTAACCCACCCTCTACTTCCAGCTGAAGCCAGCGGGGACAGCGTGCAGGGGCTCCAGCAATGCCTGTGACCTCCCGGAGTTCTGCACGGGGACCAGTCCACACTGTCCAGCCAACGTGTACCTGCATGACGGGCACCCATGCCAGGGAGTGGATGGCTATTGCTACAATGGCATCTGCCAGACCCATGAGCAGCAGTGTGTCACCCTGTGGGGACCAGGTATGTGGCTGCCGCCAGCTTGAGCCTAGGGAGGGATTGGCGCGGGCAGGGTAGGGGAGCCTGCAGTGTTTCCTTGGCCCCTCACTACCAGTCAGAAGACATCCTCTTCGGAGCTCTGTCCAGCTAGCACTGATTGGCTGGGAAGGAGCCAGGGCCATGTGGGTGAAGTGGCACAGAGGGGACTGCCTAAGCTAAGTCCCTCAAGGGATGGGGAGGGCAAGTCAGCATGACACCTGCCTCTGATGCTGTCACCTGCAGCTGGGCAGATGTGGACAGAGTTCCCACTGCTCAGATCACAATGGCAGTTTTGAGCTCAGGCCAGGACCCCACCGAGAGCTAAGGGTGGCAGAGGGAGGAAGTCATAGCTGCTGGAGGGTAACAAGAGACCTTGGTGGGCCCAGGCAAAAACAGCAGATATGTGTGCAGATGGACAGGGAGTGGCAGGGTCTGAGGGCATGAACTAGGTGAAAGCGTGGACAGCAGAGCCCAGGGCACATGGATGAATAACAATTGGATGTTATCTAATGCAAAGGCAGTGGCAGACTTGATGTGTCATCCTGAAAAGGGACCCAGAGAAGCAGGGGCGAGGTGGAGAAGGTGGCCAGGATGCGATGGCCGGGCCACCCAGGGACCGTCTGGTTTACTGCCTCACTGTGTGCCAGCAGGTGGCATCTCTTGTCTCCTAGAACTGTCCAACCACCCCTAAGGCAGGGTTGGTGACTGCAGTCCACGGATTTAAACCCAAGCCACTGTGGCCCAGTGCCCAGGCATCACTCCCACAGCTTGCACAGAGACTGTACTGCGCACCCCTCCCGCTATGCAGTCACCCTGAAAGGGCAGGTCTTGAACTCGGACTCAGGACAGAGGCCAGGGCAAGAGAACCAGTGCCCAGCAGATCTCCCTCCTTGGCTCCTCTTTGGAGTCAGCAATCCAGGGCCTGGCGAGGCATCCTGGGAGTCATTTGTGATTTACTGCCAGTCCCTGGATTCTGTATGCCATGGGGGTGTTTACCCAGGGTGGAGCGCCCCTCCTGCCCCATCTTCCTCTTGCCCCGTGGCACTGTAGCCTTGCCACTCGGCTTGTTCCACCTCTTGCTACCCACAGAGCAGCCCTCAGTCCTGGCTGGAGACTCCAATTGCAACGGTAAGGCCATTATGGTCAACTGGGCACAGCTCAAGACACATCTGGCCGGGGGCACTGAAGCCGCCCTTGGGTCTTAGACCCTGAGTGCATTGTCTCTGACCCTGAGTAGCCCTTGGCCAGGGGTACCATAAGGTCCTCTAGGCATTAGTGGAGGGCACACAGTGGCAATGACAAGCACTGAATGGGCTCTCACTGTGGACATGGTCTGGTGGTCACACAGGCTTGATGTGGCTTAGTGATGTGGGATGTCTTTAAGGCAACCAAGGGCACTTTGGGGCAGTTGCTGCAGCTGCAGGTCAGGCCTGCACAGCTATAAGCACCCCTAGCTCCTGTCCCCTGCCCAGCCCTTCTCCAGGGTCAGTAACATCCCCTTCTTGAGTTACGAGCACCATGACAGGGTTCCATTCCAAGGATCCTGTGTGTATGTCAGGGAACACAGGGTAACTTGGGCAACAGGCATGCTCCTCGGTACTGGCTGCACAGCGACACTCGGCCCCACAGCCAAGCCACTCCGATGGACGTGCACGGTTCTCTGTGAGCCATCGCCCCAAGGGATGGGGCTGGCTGTGTGTCCTGAACTTGTGGTGACCAGGGCTGGCAGCTATGAGACTTCAGAGCACAGAAAGGAGAGAGGAGCAGACAGGTGGACGCTGACCCCCAGGGCGGGCCCTGCAGGATGACCAGAAGTCACCGGCTTTGAACTCCCATCATCAACCTCAAAACTCTTCATCAGCTTCCAGAAATGTTGTTCCCTGCAGCTCAAGACTGTAGCCTTGAGATGAGCCTTTTCCGGGTCAGTCGAGGCTGATGATGGTAGTCAAGGTTAGAGCCCGATGGCCGGGTGGCCACGTCCACAGCAGGGCTGGCCGGCCTTCCAGTAAAGCGTGTGGCCTCCCTGAGATGTCACTGCCGTGTCCACAGCCTCCAGCTTTACACACTGGTCACTTCACGGTCCTGAGGGTCAGAGGTCAAGCTGGGAGCCAGGCAGCGTGTCTGGAGGCCCAGGGACAGTCGTACCTTCACAGTGGGCCCTTCCTGCATATCCCAGGTCGGCAGAGTGCCGTCTCCAGCCTTTGCCTCTCTCTGACCTCTGCTTCTGTGGCCATGCCTCCCTCTCGGACCCTCTGACGAGGCTCTTGTGATATCACAGGTCTGCCAGGTCACCCAGGCTTGTTTCCTCATCCCTAACTTAGCCCCACGCTCACGCTAAGATGGAACAGCCCCAGGTTCCAGGTGAATGTGTGCACCTTTTATGCCCCAGGGGGCTACAGGTGCCAAAACATACTAGCAGGGTGACATCAGCCATTGCTCACTCCTGCTCTGCCATTTCTGTAAAGTGGGTACAGCAGTTTACCTAACCCATAGGGTTACCTAACCCATAGGGGTTAGGTAAACACAACCCATAGGGTTGCTGGGGTGCTATTGTGTAGCCTAGAGTCCACAAAACGAACCACATGCTGGACCATGCCGGGCACATCACTGTGTGATCACAGATGCTCACAGACCAGTGACCAAGACCCCCACATCCCGGGTCTTCTGAAAAGGCTGTGGCAGGATATGGTGACTAGACAGGCAGGACCAAGAAGCAGGCTTTGTGTACCAGGCTGTCCACGTGGGATGAGAAGGGAAGCAGGAGGAACAGCACGTATTTGGAGATTTGCAGAAGGACAGTGAGAGCAAGAGGGGGAACACAAGTGGCAGGTCTGGGCCAGGACGTGGAGAGCAGAGCCCCTGCCCGCCTGTGCCCGCCTGTGCCCGCCTGTGCCTCCCCCCACCCCCTGTTAAATGCCCGTGGTCCTGCGTGTGTCAGACGCCGGCTCCAGGGCCCCAGTTCCACTAGAGAGACACTTCCACAGTCCTTGTGCATGCTTGCCCAGACCGGGAGCGGAGGCAGGATGTGACACGTCACAGTGTCCTCTCGGGACATTCACCACGCTGGGGGCAGGGACCGCCTTCTCTGCCAGCATCCCTGGCCAGCCAGCCAGACGGGGCTGACGGAGCCCTGTCATGTGTGCTGACAGTGGTTGGTTTGAATTAGCCTTTCACAATTCAGGAAAAGAGAACTCGTCAGGCATGCACGCGCAGTATTTCTTCCCCCGTCCGTTTTGAGGGTGCTCTGGGCTGTGGCCATGTCTGCACGGGATCGTCGGATCTCCTGGGAGTCCAGCTCCTCAGAGCTCACGGATCGCTGGGTCCCTGGCCGGCTGGCTCCAGCCCCTTCCTGCCTGGTGACCTGGCCGAGCTGCTGAGCCAGCTGGAATCCTCCAGTGACGTTCAGGGTGTTGGTCTCTGAGTCCGCAGACCTGGAACCCTGGCTGGCTGAAGCCCTCCCTTCCCACCAGCAGTCGCTTCTTGCAGCAGGCTTTTGTCAACCCAGAGTTTTATTTCGATCAAATAATCTTCATTCCAAATCTTTCTACATGGAAAATGGTCAGCAAATTCAGATCATTTGCCTGTGGCTCCTAACTGGCAAGCACACATTTGGAATACTTTTTGAGTTTTTGGGTGCATTTTGTTTGTTTTTCTGGTTTTCCTTGTTGGTGGGGCTCTTGTTGGCTAAGAGGTTAGTTTTTTTATTTTTTTCCAGCTGATCTTTCTGCCACAACTCTTTTATATTCAGATCTTATATGTTGCAGTCAAACTCAGGAATGTTATCTGCAGCTCATACTGGGTGCCTTGAGTTGGTCTTCTTTTCTGGGTCAGTCTTAATAGAGGTTTTCTGCCAATGCGAAACCACCCTTATTCCTTGTATAAAGGGAGCTGCCTCTGTCTCCTTAGGCAGGAAGTGACATCATCAGTGACATTTGTCAGATCATTAGCATGTTCAGCAAAACTATTACTTAGCAATTATCCTTGGAGGCAACAGTGTCTGAAGGCCCAAACAACTTGCATTAGGGCAGTCCTGAAATACGTTCATGTTCTCTACCACACCCGCCTACTGGACTCCCACCTACTGGACTCCCGTCTTGGGATTTCTGCAGTGCTAGCTGGCCAGACAGTGGTTCCAGGCTGGTAAATACTTGGTGCAAGACTGGTTCCCATGGGTTTGGCTCATGGGAGTCCACGTGGGGCAGTGCAGGTATGAAACCTTACGACTCCAGGGGCTGCAGGGGGACAAGTGGCTGCAGAGGCTCCAGGGGCTGCAGGGAGACGAGGGGCTGCAGGGGCTCCAGGGGGACGAGGGACTCCAGGGGCTGCAGGGGGACAAGTGGCTGCAGAGGCTCCAGGGGCTGCAGGGGCTCCAGGGGGACGAGGGACTCCAGGGGCTGCAGGGGGACAAGTGGCTGCAGAGGCTCCAGGGGCTGCAGGGAGACGAGGGGCTGCAGGGGCTCCAGGGGGACGAGGGACTCCAGGGGCTGCAGGGGGACAAGTGGCTGCAGAGGCTCCAGGGGCTGCAGGGAGACAAGGGGCTGCAGGGGCTGCAGGGGGACGAGGGGCTCCAGGGACTCCAGGGGCTGCAGAGAGACAAGGGGCTGCAGGGGATCCAGGGGGACAAGGGAGGCTTTTGGCCAGAGGCATATTGCTGAGGAGTCTGAATGTCTCCCCTTGCTCCCCTCCTGCGAGGAGGCCACAGTGGGATGTACCCACTAGGACTTGGTCTTCCAATGAAGGTGACTGTTGAGTTGCAGAGCCAGAGCAGTCCTATTTGCTTGCTGCAAGGCCTTTGTGGGGAAGCAGCGACAGAGGGCAGGCGGGCCTGACCTGGTGACCTGGAGCAGGTGTGGCCAAGGGGGTGGCTTCTAAGAGAGGCAGCTCAGGGATTTGGCCTTCAGAGTTTACGATGGGTAGACTTTGCAGCTTGCTCACATGTGACCAGAGACAGGTTGAAGTGTTGTGCCTTGGTGCGACAGTCTGTGAACTGGGCATATTGTTGACCTTCCGTGGAGATCTTAGCGATCAAAGACACCATGTGATGGGTTCAACACAACCTCTAACAGTTGGGTTGCCCAGCAAATCCTGCACTGTTGAGCTCAAGCAGGCCATTCATCTAAAGCATGTGCCCTTGGTACAAGTAAGGGCAGGGACCCCAGCAAAGATGTCCTGTATTCCCAGGCTCAGTGGACCCCAGGGCGTCCACCTCGTGTCTTTGTAGGAGGTCTCCTGCTGCCTCTTTCTCATCAAGTAAAAGCAGCCTGCAATGTACCCAGCACGAGTCAGGGTCCAGGGCAGCCATAGCCCCAAGCACTGAAACGAAGTGGATGCAAAAAGTTGGAATTCATGTTTTAATTAGGTGCAAGATATATGCAAAAACGCCCAGGAGTTCAGACCAGGTTCGCTCCTAGCCAGCATTTCCTGAAGTAGCTGGCCCTTCCACAGTCTTCTCTCTGGGGACATAGAGACAGGTGAGTGTGTCCTGATGCACTCATGGACACAACAAATACCCTGCATATTGCGTACAAGGTTAGGTTCACGGAGCTTTCCTCCCAGGACCCTCTGGCAGTCCCCTTCATAACCGGGACTTGCTTAGCCACTGCCTCTGTGCCAGGGGCTCCACCAACTGATTTGATGACCCCGGCCTTTTGAGTCAGGTGGCATGCATGTCCCCACCTTATACGCCTGATCAACCTACATAATTCTGAGTCCCACGCCCTTGTCCTTCCAACGCTGTACCCAGACAGGACAGAGGCCTTCCAGAAACCATCAGTATTTGGTAATCGGTGATATTGGTTGCTATTCCCTTGGGTCCCATGCACACCCATCTAAAAGATAAGGAATTCCCCAGAATTACTCCTCAGAACCATGGCAGCCCTGCCAGCTGGAGGGGGTACTATGCGGACCATGAACCCCTGTCTTGTTGAATTAGGAGGTTCGTGGGGGTGAGGTCTACTCACCCCAAAAAGATAAGTGCATTTGTCACGTTTAATTATTGTTCCTTGGGTATGACTTTGTGCCTCTATTTTTGGTTATCATGGTAAAACAGCTTCATAAAATCACTTTGACAAAGCAACAGAATAGGTGATTAGGTTGTGGGAGTCCTGAAGATACGCCCACTGGGCGAGAAGAAAGGCACAAAAATGCACCTGTCGCTGAGAGTGGCTCCTGGTGACAGTATCCTAGGGAACCGCACGTCAACATCAGAGCAAGGACAGGTGCAGGGGACGTGCTGCAGATAACAAAATGACTTTGAGACAAAAGAGAAAGAATGTGAGTGAAAGAGTTGCATGGCATGTGAGAGAATGAAAAGGCAATGTTTCTTAATTAAAATGTGATTCATAATTTCTTACATTAGTTGCCAACATATTGTAAGACTTGGCTATATCACTCACACTGGTGAGAATTCACATCTCCAAATTGGCCACAAATCTTTCAGTGGAATTTGGTCTTTGGAAAGTGGGAGCTCCCTCGTAGCTAAAGGAGGCTGCTTGTGTGGGCAGGAGCAGGTGCCAGGGAATAGCAGGAGGGGCTTCAGTGACCGGTAAGTGTGTACGTCATTGCCTCTTGTGAGCTCTACGCCATGCTAGCCGCTGACTTTGGCGACTTAAAGCCGAATATGAACACCACCTCCCCAAGGCTCCCTGTGTCTTGCCTTTGGGGTTCCTAGTTGAGATCCATGGTTTTCTCCTCCGAGGGGCTTCTGTGCTTGTTTGCCATTTCTGCCACATCTTCAGCCCCTTTCTTTGGCATTCATATATTGGGCTTCCCATTTGCTTTGCTGTTACGTTTCCAATATCTTCAATCCCTGTTACAATTGCTCCCTTAGTGTGTAGCCCTCATTGTGACAGAGGGCCAGCCACTGAGTCATTTAGGAAGACCCGAGGTTTACTTGGCTCATGGTTCTGGCAACACAGCACCAGCACCTGGCCGGGGGCCAAGTAGGGGAACTTCTTGCTTTATTAGAATATGTCAAGGGGCATCACGCGATTAGGTGGAGCTCCTGGGGCGGCCCAGCTCTCTCCCCCGCCTCTCTCAACCCCATCTGCTCCTTCCCTCTTCCAGCTCCACTGCTTTCATTCCACCAGAGTCCCAACCTGTGGGCTCACAGCGGGACTGCCCCTGGTCATCCCCAGAATCGCCTGCATGGCCTGACCATGCCCTCTCACTCTGCATCCACCTTGTGGAGAGCAAGCAATGGAAGTGGGGAATGGCGGTAGAGCCCCAGCAGGGAACTGTGCGCTGTCCTTAGCGCAGTCTTTGTGGGCAAAGCTCTCGGCTCTAGCTCAGCCAGCAGAACACTGATGGAGCAGTTGTGTGGCTTGGCATGGTCCCTGTGGATTTATCGCTTGCCTGTCTAGCTCTGTTCCTCCCACTCATTGTCCTCTCTGTCCATCCGTCATGCTGTAGTCTTTGGCCACACGTGAGGGTTTATTCATCACTGGCTTTCAGGCCTGTGGCAGAGTGGTGACCAAGTTGGATTAAATTCCTGCTTGCCTGAAAAATGCCAAAAGTGATAGAAAACAGACGAGTGAATGTGTTTTTCTGAAGTCCAGTGTTGGGGATTACATGAAAGGAGAAACGGAATAAGGGGATGGAGTAAATGTGTTTTAAAGTGTGCTGATCATGGAGTACAGCTCAAGGGGCTGTGAGCTGAATCCCATTGCCTAATCCTATCAGTGACCCTACAGGGTAGGCCTCATTGTCCGAGTTATGGACAAGAAAACCAAGAATTAGGAGGTTAGCTACATTGCTGAGGTGGGCACAGCGATCAAGGGCAGGGCCCCTGAGGGTGGAATCCTGTAGGGCATGCAGAAGGAGGAGCTGGGTCTTAGATGTCGGGAAAAGAGTAAGATGCAGCCACACAGCCCAGGCACCCTCAGATTCCAGGGATCAGGGACACGATGCCAGAGGTACGCACTGGGTGCTGATAGCATGAGACCAGAATCGCCTTGTTCCTCTTTCCCAGATAAAGGAGTATCACCAGCATCTCCTAGTGGCCATTCTGCCATTGAATGTGCTGTGGTCACACTCACTGTTCCAAAGCACTTTGTCTCCTGGGAACTATGGTCACTCACAAAACATGCCTACCACGCTACAAGTGAAAGGTGTTTGCTCTTTCTCCTGGCAAGGAATCTATAATGGAAAACCATGTGTGCTTGAGGCTACTGCCCCTTAAAAAGCAACATGGAAAGCCTCCCCAAAATGGTTCTGCAGGTGCAGGCCTGGGGTGGCCCAGGACAGTGGTATGCGTGCTGGGCAAGGTGGCATGGTCTCTCTGATCCTGCCTGTGGGCAGCTGATGGGAAGGACTCGGGCATGAGTTGAGCGGTAAGAGAGCCTTCCCTGATATCTCAGGCTGCGGTCACTTTAGAAGGCAGATGGAGCTGGGCTCAGGACAGGTGGACGTTAGAAGTGATAGATGAGGGATTACCCGTTAGGGTGTCAGCTTGAGAGAGTCGGGAGGCTGAGCCCACAGTGCCCCTGCTTCTGAAAACTGAGACACTTGCTCACATGCTCATGGTCTCCAACAGGCATGATTCTCCCAGGATTCCAGAGCTTGGACAGGGCTGACCGCTCTTGTGTCTGCCAGGGAAAGGTGTTCAGCAGGGCTTTTCCCCAAGTTCATCAACCACCATGCTGCCCCAGCTAGAGTCTGGCTCCATGGCCAGAGGTCACACATGCCTCGGGCCCTGGGTACCAGGCCCAAAGAGGAGCGTGGCATGAAACGTGGACTTGGCCTTGGGCCAAGCCCTAGAAAACACTGCCTGCTGTTGACCAAGGCTCCCACAGGCCAGTTCCCCTCTTGAGTCGGTGGAGACTGGAGGCATTGGGTATGAGTTTTCTGAACCCCCAAATCCCAGGATGCAAAGAACAGCAGAACTGCTCACGGAAGCTGCAGATGGTGCTTTGCTCTGTTCCAGGTGCCAAGCCTGCCCCCAGGATCTGCTTCGAGAGAGTCAACTCTGCCGGGGACCCATACGGCAACTGCGGCAAGGACTCCAAGAGCTCCTTTGCCAAGTGCGAGATGAGGTATGCTGTCTGCACGACCCTCCTGTGTTCCCACTGCCACCTTCCCCTGTAGTGTAGGGCTGGTTCCTGCCTGTGTTTCCTTGGGAGTCATTTGTTCTCATCCCTTCCAGAGATGCTAAATGCGGGAAAATCCAGTGCCAAGGAGGTGCCAGTCGGCCAGTCATCGGGACCAATGCTGTTTCCATAGAAACAAACATCCCACTACAGGAAGGAGGCCGGATTCTCTGCCGGGGGACCCACGTGTACTTGGGCGATGACCTGCCTGACCCAGGACTGGTGCTTGCCGGCACCAAGTGTGCAGACGGAAAGGTAAGAGCCAACACTTGTCTGCGTCACCATTGAGAAAGTCCCATTCAAGGGCTGTGCTTCCGGGCTGGTTGGTTTCCTAAGCCCACTTCTCGGAGCGTGGTCTCAGCATCCAGTTCTTTGCAACCTGAGAGATGGAATCTGTGCATCTCAGATCCCAGTGTGAAGCCGTCTTCTCGGCCATGGATCATCTCTGTATTCCTGGGGTTGCAGGGGTTCCAGCTGAGACATGACTGCGCAGACATGCCAGAACATGGAACCCTGCCTGGGAGGGTGACTGGCACTGGGGCCGGGTTCTTGAGTGGAATGGGAAATCAGACATGGAAAGAAGATGAGGACAGGGAGCAGGTGGTGGGATATGCAAAAGGCCGGAAAATGATGCGGTGGAGGCAGGCGCAACTAGAAGCTGTGTCTGGAGGTCAAAAAATATATTAAAGCAAAAAAAGGGACCCTGAGGCTCTCACGTAGCCACCCTGACTTTGCTTTCACCAGAACTCCTTGTCAGAGATGATCATAACAGAAAATGAATCAGCCTCCAAATGCCTTTCTAGTACCACATTTTCAACACGATTGTGAGTTCACTCAGGAGCATGGAAGTCAGAGAGGAAAGGACAGACTGCTTTCCTGCCCAAAGACCCACAGGAGGGAACTCTGTCCTATCTTCGGCCCAGGTCCCCACAGCCTGAGGTCCCCATGGCCCAAGTCCCACACAGCTGAGCCCCATGTGGCCTGAGCCCCCCAATAGCTTGAGCCCCCATATGACCCAGGCCCCATGGCCCAGGTTCCCATAGCCTGAGCCCCACGTGGCCTGAGCCCCCCCACAACCCGAGCCCCACACGGCCTAAGTCCCCCACAGCCCAAGCCCCCAATGACCCAGGCCCCATGGCCCAGGCTCCCATAGTCTGAGCACCACACAGCTTAAATTCCCCACGGACCAACACCCCTTGGATTGAGCCTCCATGGCCTGAGTTCCCACAGCCCAGGACCCCCCTGGCCTGAGCTCTCACAGCGTGAGCCCCCTTGGCTTGAACTTTCATGGCCTGAGCTGCCGGGATAGGCTCTTTTTTCAAAGAGTGTTCACCTCACCCTTGGGCCCAGCGGGTGCCCTTGCCCATACCAGAGTCCTGCTTGATTGAAGCATTCCTGGATTGAAGCGTATAGCCCTTCCCTTGCCTACCCTTGCCTGTGCATCTCATGAGCGGCCCAGCCCCAATGCCCAATATCTAGACTGGGCCATGCACTTGCAACAGGGGCCCAGGGCCCCCCAGCTCGTGTGCAACCCCGCCATGCCCTGGGAGAGCCAGGCGCCCATCCGCTCACCTCCGCTGAGCGCTGTTGTGGCTTGCTGCGCTGTCGGCACAGCCCTCCGGGTTTAAGACAGCACCCCTGTTGCAGGGTCCTCCTCAGAACACTTGGAGTCTGACCCATCTGCCCCCTGCTCCGCCTTTTTATGGAGAGGAAACAAGCCACTGATTGTAGATCTCACTGTAAGCTCTGAGCCACAGGCATCAACTGAAACCATGAAAAATGCCCCAAAGCATGAATGTTCACATTGAACTTGCCCTTGAGAGGCGTTGAGTTTGGGGTCACAGTAAGACCATGTGTGAGTCAGGGGAACAATGCCTTGTCATGTGGTTCCCATGTGACTGCACAGGCAGGCCTCATGATGCTCTCCTGGGCTTGCTCCCCTTCTCACTTAACCCGTGTGTGTGTATGTGTGTGTGTGCACATGTGTGTGTGTGTGTACGCGAGCACGCGCTTCTGGAAGCACTGACATGTTGGCTCTGCTCTCTTGCAGATCTGCCTTAACCGTCGATGTCAAAATGTGAGCGTCTTTGGTGTCCACGAGTGTGCCAGGCAGTGCCATGGCAGAGGGGTAAGGAGCCTGCACGGCCCTGGCAGAGCCGGCCCATGGCAAGCTGAGCAGGGGATCCTGCCATCCGTGGCTTTTTGAAAACACAGCACTCAGTGTCCTTTCAATATTTTTGTCTGGAGACATTAATTTTCTTTGACCTTTACATAGTAGAAGAAATGTCACTTTTAGTTCACAAAGAAAATCAAATTGGACAGTAATTATCTTTTAAATTAACATTGTGTGACTTATAAAAAGAATTGTGTCATCTTCAAAGTAATTTTAACATCAACCCTCCTTCAGAGGGTCTCTCATTCAGAATTTAACCAGCAGTGTCCCTCGCACTACTGGCATGTAGAATATGCATCTGGACTGCAGTATTCCCCAAAGAAATTAAAACTGCATTAACTGTGCCAACCTATCTTCTTGACATCCCACCAGGGAGTCTGACCAAAGAAAGTTAGTGTTTCAATCAGAGAATCTTCAGGGAACAAGAAAACTTTGTTTAAAACGTAATTCACATTTCTTGATGGGCTCGATTGTGTCCAGTGGACTCTCCCTCACCCTGATTAGCCACGCCAGGGATTGGTTAGCCTTCCTGAAGCCTTTGCTACAGCAGTCAGGCCCTGGCCCCCCATCCCAATGTGGTGCCCTATGCTGCTGCACCTGCAATTGAAGGATGACAGTACTGCCTCACAGGGGCTTGTCAGCTGCGGGTGTAGCTGACTCAAGATGCCCCAGGCCTCTCTGTCCTCACTGGATCATGTCTGGAAGAAGCAAAGGCATCCTGCCCTATTTTCTTAGTGACAAAGACATCAACACCCAAAGGTGGGTAGGGGTGATGAACATGGGACGTGGTGGCTGAGAGCGGCAAGTCCCAGGCTCCCGGCAGGTGGGGCAGCTGACCGGGAGCCCAGGCAGGGCACACTGGCAGCACCTGCCTGTAGGGGGGAGTGCTGGAATTTCCCTGCCCCCATGAGTTGCCAAAAGCTGGCAAGCTCCAATGCAGAGGGCAGTGGCACAGAGCAGTGTATGGGATGACTGGGTGTCCAACACAGCTGCATCTTTGCGGGACCTTGGACTTGGCACAGGCCATTTGGTTCAGCTTCACGGCTGGACAAGGGGTATTCGCGGAGTATACATATCCCACTGGGCACACCTGGGAGCTGGTGTGTGTGTGAGGGAATGTTGGGAGGGAGGCAGACTCAGAGGCCTGCAGAGTTCCATGGCCTCTGTGAGCACAGGAATTGCAGGCTCAGCTGAAGGTCTCACCTGCCTGGCCTGTCCACGCCTCCTGGCTGAAGGTGGCTGGAGTGGGCCAGATGGCTGTCATGTGTCCCCAGGGCTTCAATTGCTTGTCTGACACAGAGCCGTGCTGGCCAGACAGTGGGGGTCTCGGGGAAGGGAAAGGCAGGCCAGGGAGAGGAAGAGCAAGGCTAAAGAGGACAGCGCTAGCAGTCCCCCGTCACCCCCTGCATGGCTGCTGACAGCCGACGCTTGTCACTGCCACGGCCTCAAGCCCCCTCTGCTCTGCGTGGGGGCTCGTCCTTGCCCAGGTGGGGAGTGCCCAGCCTGGCTCCGTGCGCAGGCTCTGGCCACAGGGTGCCCTTGCTTGTGCCATGGCTCTTGACTGGGGATCATCCCGAGGTGCCCCTAACGCTGCCTCCCTCCCGTCTTTCCCGCCCTGGAAGGTGTGTAACAACAGGAAGAACTGTCACTGCGAGGCCCACTGGGCACCCCCATTCTGCGACAAGGTGGGCTTCGGAGGAAGCACAGACAGCGGCCCCATCCGGCAAGCAGGTTAGTGCAGGCCACGTGTCCCTGGAGTTGCATGCTGAGCTCTGGGCAGGCGTAGCTCAACAGCAGAAAGCCCCCAGGAGCCTGCATGGGGCTGAAGGCCTGGGCCCTCTCCCGGGTTCACGTGCTCCCTCACCTGGCTGCCTCTCTACCGAGCCTCCTGCTCTCTGTGTCCCAGGGCCCAAAGGTGTGAACTTTACATCCTTTATAACTCTGCCTGGAGTGGCAGCAAGGCTCAGAGAAAGTGACCTTGATGAGGCAACAGGACCACAGCAGCCCCAGCGGGCTGCACAGCCACACCTGTCGCTGCCTCCTCCTCTGATTCCCACATTGGTGCTTTCCTTTGCATTGGAAGCACTTAAGGCCAGAAAGAACGTTCCTAAAGCCACCCAGCTAAAATGGAGACTCGGGCCTGTCTGGCCCCACAGAAGCTCCGACAACAGTTGTGCTTGCATCCTCAGCTTATCCTATCCCCACCCCTCCCACCAGGGACCCTCAGAAGAGGGCCCACAGCCCTGTGCACCTTGCTCGGAGCTCTGGCCAGGCAGCCAAGGTCTGAGCCTAAGGGATGTCTCTTGGAAAGTGTGGGCCCAGGTAAACTGAGGCAGAGCAGGCGGGGAGTGCAGCTGAGAGTGCCCCGAGCGCCTGACATTGCCTCCCTGTGACATGTAGACCAGTATGGCTGCAGTACAAGTCACCAGTCCCCAAGGCCTGCTGTGATTGGCAGACTTGAATCCCAAGGTTGCCATCATCGTCATGACAACAGACACAACACCAGTCTGCAGGACCAGGCCCAGCATGCAGGGCTCAGGAAGGGCGGCCAAGCCAGCAGGCATACCTCTGCAAAGGACAAGGGCGGTGCGTGCCACTGGCCTCCTGTGTGCACACAGGCAGGTCTTGGCCTTGCTGCCCACATTCTTCTGGGCCCAGGACCCATGCGAGTAGGGAAAGAACAGGAAACTCTTGCCTGACCTGATGCCCAGTACAGTGGTGGGTGGGCAAGGGCTTGGCCCAGCATCCCCTGTCCTTGATGAAGTCTCAGTCTTGGCAACCAGTCGGTTTCCTAATCAATACTCTAATATGGCTTTAAGTGCACAGCGAGCAGGTGTCGCATTCTCATCAACCCAGGACTGTCCACTCAGTCCCTAAGCCCGAGACAGGGACGGGAGAAGGCAGCAGGAGTCTGGCTGAGCCCACAGAGGGCTAGCTCGTCAGGCTGGCAGAGCTGCTGAGCCTTTCTTGGGTAAGAGTTCTCATAAAGGAAAGCCACTCAAGTGTTCAAACCCATCCTGTGCTGCTGTCACTTTGTGCAGCTGCCAGCCCAATCCCCCCAGACACACACACACACACCACACACACCACACACACACACACACACACACACACACACACACACGGGGCAGGCGAGTGCCAGCCAGCCCTATGTCCTGCTGTCCCTGTTTCTCTCCGACCTCACCGAGGCCCCTCCTTTTGCTCAGCGACACCTCAACCTTGACAATTGTTCTCTGGCTGACACCTAGCATGCTCATGTGACTTTCAGCATGGAACAGCCCCAAACAGCAGGGCCTGGGGTTGAGCAAGCAGCTGTAGGTCCTGCAGAGGAGTGGTAAAGGGTGTACAGTGGTGGCAGACAGGTGCCAGGCTGGGCAGAGGGCAGGGGCAGGGGTCTGCAGGTGTCAGGAGAATGTTTGAAGCAGAAAGCACCAGCTGGGCGAGGATCTGGAGTCTGACCCAGGATTGCAGGAGGCTGACCTGCAGGACTCGGGCTCAGTGTCCCTAAGGACGAGAGCCGTGGCCTGGGCAGCCCAGTGCGCGGTCCTGCTGTTCCCGGAGACGGGCAGCCTCAGCTGAGACGGTGGATGGCATAAGCTAGTTGAGCTGACTTATCAGGTTGATTTTAGGGAACCAAGACTTTTGCTGCTTACTGTGGTAAGACCATAGAGCTGCCAAGCCTGGCTCTGTGCGTGCTGCTAAGAGGAAGAGTACGCTTCATCCACGAGTCCAGGAGCAAGGCTTTTCTAGGAACCCTGACCATGACTCCCTGCTGTGGCTGGGATTCATCCCTGAAAAGACGGTCAGTGGGCAAGGAAATCCAGAAGTGGGGTGCAGGTCCTGTTCTCCTGCAGAGGGGGCAGATCAGAGGTGTGGGGACTCGGTGGTTACAGACACCGTGGCACAGTCCCCAGCAGCCTGTGACCCAGTATGTGAGCCATACCCTGGTCATGAGTGGAAAGTGAGCTGCATGACCAGAGAGCAAAGTCCTTAAGCAACTTGGGGTCTGGATGAAACTTCAGGCAGCTCGGACCGTCGGCTGTGACCCTAGGGCCACAAGCCAAGGTGAAGGCTCAATTACCCCTCCTCCCTGTGCCAGAACAAGGTGTCTCTCTCTCTCTCTCTCTTTATAAGATTTATTTATTTTACTAGAAAGGAAGATGGACAGAGGGGAGGAGAGACAGGGAGAAAGATCTTCTGTCTGATGACTCACTCCCCACGTGGCACAAGGCTGGAGCTGAGCCTGTCCGAAGCCAGAAGCCTGGAGCCTCTTCTGGATCTCCCACGTGGGTGCAGGATCTCAAGGCTTTGGGCCGTCCTCGACTGCTTTCCCAGGCCACAGGCAGGGAGCTGGATTGGAAATGGGGCCGCCAGAACTCGAACCGGTACCCATATGGGATCCTGGCACATGCAAGGTGAGGACTTTAGCCACCAGGCCACTGTGCCAGGCCCAGGACAAAGTCTCTTACATGTCCTGAATGAAAGCAATCCAATCATCAGAAACTATACGCTCCCAGAGACTGGACTTTGCTTCCAGTGGCTGCTTTGTAAGATTTGGTTTATTTGAAAGCAAAGTCACCAAGTAAGGAAGAAAATTTTCCATCCTCTGGTTCATCCTCCAAATAACCACATTGGCTGGGCTTGGGCCAGGCCGATCCAGGAGCTTCATTCAGTTTGCCCACATGGGTGCAGGGCCCCAGGCATCCGGAGCATCTGCTGCTGCTTTCCCAGGTGCATCAGCAGGAGCCAGATTGGAAATGGAGCAGCCAGGACTCAAATCTGTGCCCCTATGGGATGTTGGCATTGCAGTCGGCCATTTTACCTGTAATGTCACAGCACTGGTCCCAGTGACTGACTGGTAAGACCCTAGCAAGACCAAGAAAAATGGGCATTTTGTTTAAGCCATTTGATTTTTTTTTTTACCAATTTTTTAAAGATTTTTTTTATTTGAAAGGCAGACTTTACAGAGAGAAGGACACACAAAGAAGATCTTCCATCCACTGGCTCACTCCCCAAATGGCTGCAGTGGCCAGAGTTGAGCTGATCCAAAGCCAGGAACTAGGAGCTTCTTCCAGGTCTCCCACATGGGTGCAGGGTTCCAAGGCCTTGAACCATCTTCTACTGCTTTCCCAGGCCACAAGCAAGGAGCTGGATGAGAAGTGGAGCATCTGGAACTCAAACTGGCACCCATGTGGGATGCTGATACTGTAGTCAGAAGCTTAGCCTATTACACCACAGTGCTGCCCCCTCTTTTTTTTAACTGATTTGAAATGCCCAGAAATAAGGCTCACTCTAAAAAACGGGGACACAGCCTGGACCACTCATGGATGAGATGAAGGGGCTGTACACGGCACGTTTGATGTGAGAGCCGGAAAGGTTTGGTCAGGGACCACCTGGGTTGTGGTGAGCTCTCAGTGATGGCTGCCTGTGGTCCCAGCTGTCCTCACACATTGGGGAGCCTGTGTGTTCCAGCACTGATCCCACCCACCAGGCACTTCCTGTTTAACAAGCCCAGACCTGTCCACGTTGAGTGATGGCAGTGTAGCCGAAAGCACGCACACAACCTTGGAAGGAGACTCCTTTGTTAGGGTGCTACTCAGGAATGTACTGCCTTTGTTTTGGCTTGTTCCTTCAAAGTCCACTTTGCCATAAATGTCACAAGTTGATACCCCCTGTATTTCATTATAACGGCCTCCTGCCATGAGTCAAGTGTGATTTGTTTCAGATAACCGAGGCTTAACGATAGGAATCCTGGTGACAACGCTGTGTCTTCTCGTGGCTGGATTTGTGGTTTACGTCAAAAGAAAGACCTTGATCCGACTGCTCTTTACAAACAAGAAAACGACCTTTGAGAAGCTAAGGTACTCGGGCTTGGTCCCTGCCTCGGCGGCCCATCCTAGTCAGAGGAATATGCAACAACCCACTTCTCCCCTCATTTGCCTTAGCAAAGGGGAGACCTAGACTTCTGGATAAAAAAAACTTGAGATAGAAGAGGAGTCTTAAAAAATTCTGATGGACCAGCTGCCTCTTTTCCCTTCTCTGCAACTATTTGCCATTCATGACTCGAAAGGGAGAATGTGATGACACTGATATGTTTTCTCCCAACCTTACGTCAGCAATTTTTGTAAGACTCCGCTGCCTTGGCCAGGTGAGGTGGTATGTGACCCAGTGGATCCACAGGCGTTGACGCTGAAACATCAGCTTTGCGGGAGACCCCCAGTGGGGTCACAAAGCCACATCCTTGGGAGGTGCAGGACTAACCAGGCAGAGTACCTAACCGTGCGTGTTGTCTGGTCTTAGCAGATTCAGCCCCTTCCCCCTTACGCTGGGGTAGATGGGTAGGTTGCCTGCAGAGTGTGACCACAGACAAAACGCAGGAAATGAAATCGATGAGAAGGGTGAATGCCTGCGCTGACATCTGTGGGGTTGCCTTGCAGGTGCGTGCGCCCTTCCCCGCCCGCCAGAAGCTCCCAACCTCGTCAGCCTCGCCTCCTGCCCCTCGGGAAGGGGCTGATGAACAGGCAACCACGTTCTCACACACCAAAGGTAAGTGCTGACCACAGAACTGGGGACCACCGTGTGTGTGCTGGCGGATGGTAGCATTTCCCTAAGGACCAGAGTTTAGACATGCTGCCCACAAAACAGAGTCAGCGCTAGGAATGCCACCCATGAAATGCTGAGTCAGCACCGCACATACTGCCTGTGGAGTGCTGAGTCACTGTTAGACCAAAAAAGCTTGTGAAGTGCTGAGTCAGCACCACAAGGCTGCCCATGAAATGCTGAGTCAGCATGCTTTGCAGCAGGGGCAGCCAGGTGAGATCCTGGTGATATTTGGGACCGGCAGGGCAGCCCCGCTCCATCCTGCAGGGGGCAGTCGGTGTCCGCTGTGGAACAGGCCTGTGTCATGTCGTGCCATCCCTACAGGCCCCATTATATTGCCAGGGTCCCACAGGTCTGCAGCCCGAGCTGCCTTTAGCACTGGATTCCTCTTGTTTCCAAGGCTTATAGCCAGGTTTGGGTGAGTTGCCTTGGCTCACTGTCACTTATGGAACCTTGCGAAATGTTGCCTTAGCTTCAGCACTGCCCATTTTGCTCCAGCCCTGAGCTGTGCCAGCCCTGGGCACCTATGCTCCCAGGTGTTTTGGCTCCGAACCCACAGAGGCTCATGGCTCTCGCTTAAATCTCCTGATTTTTCTGATACTCTGCTGAATCCATCCTGTATTTCAATCTAATTTATTTTCTTCCCGCCAAATTTTGTTTGTTATTATTTTTTTTTATGTAACCATGAGAATGTTTTAAATTTTGTGTTTGAAAAGCAGGGTGCGGGGAGACGCCCCGGCTGCTGGACGTCTAGATGTCCGGCTCTCCCCCGGGCTCTCCTGGCGTCAGCAACCTCGGGCACCCGTCTCAGCTCTTGACTGAATGAGTAACTCCCCCGCGACCCAGGCCTGTGGCTTCATATTTGGTGTCCCCTGGAGTCTGACATTTTAACTCAATAAAAATTAATGCTTCAATGTCACAGTAAGGAGAAGGAAGGCTTCTAGATTTCTTGGCCCACCTTCCCGTAGCTCTGCCCATCCCACAGGGACCACCGCTGCCTTTGACACTCGTCTCAGCACGACTCTGCTCTGCCCCCACAGGACAGGACCAGGAGGCTGCCACAAGGCCCAGATGTTGACATCAGCAAACCCCTCAACCACCACCTCGATGTCCCTCAGCCCCAGTCACCCCAGCGAGTGCTCCCACCCCTCCACCAGGTCCCGCGTGCACCCCGCGTCCCTGCCAGACCCCTGCCAGCCAACCCTGCACTCAGGCAAGCCCAGGTAAGTGCAGGCTCTGCTCTGGCATGCAGACATTGGGGATGAGTTGCTCAGCTTCTGCAGGTCTCTCTGAAATGGAAATAATTGTGTTTCTGTGCCGGTTAGGGCACCTGCTTCCCATGTGGAGTTCAGGACGGGTTCTTGAGTACAGTAAAAGGTGAAGTATGATTTAATATTAGTCATTTGTTTATATTCAGAGTGCTTGAGATACTTAGGCAACTGATCTAAACTTTTGAGAATAGCAGGTGACACTATCAGTAATTGGGTCTGGGCCAAAATAAAAAGAGGGCGTCCAGAACAGGCAGCCCCTCTGAGGGACAGTCAGGATACATACCACATGACTGCCTCGGTCTAGTGCTGCAGCCAAGCCTGGCGCTTGGCAGCCCGTTGGCTGCTCCGTTGGCCTGGAGCTTGGCAGCCCGTTGGCTGCTCCGTTGGCCTGGAGCTTGGCAGCCCGTTTTCCTGCTGTGCCGGGGGCCCACCGTTTGCCTAGCCCGTGAGAGGTGATGGTTCCCAGGAAACCCAAGAGGAAGCAGCTCACACCAACGCCTGGCAGCAGTGGTGTTGAGTTGCCGCCATGGTCTGCTTTCCTTCCAGCAACTGTTACTTACAATCACTGTGTCTCAGCATCATTTCCATTATCCTCTGTGTGAATGACATTCATATATAATGATTTTCTGCCTTTAAATCCTTCACATTTACCATAGCATTTGAAATGTTATTGTGACAATAGCTGTATCACTGAAGAGAGAATGATTCTTTTTTAAATACCAGCCAAGTAGTGGGCATATTTGAATGTCTCGTGCCGTCATTGGAACAGGGGACTTTAAAAAAGTCCCATGTAGGACTTTAAACCCCAGAGCCATGGGTGGATGGTGCTGGGAGGGTGCCGAGCCAAGGGTTGGTGGTGCTGGGAGGGTACCAAGCCATGGGTGGGTGGTGCTGGGAGGGTGCCGAGTTGGTCCAGCTGTGAGGTGCAGGAAGTGGGCCTGGTCGTGGGGCCGGGCTGCTAGGGGATGCCCAGAGATGGGACTGGCTGCCCAAGGTGGCTCAGCTGCCAGCAGGCTCTGCTCCCTCTCTGGCCTGTGATTGGTCCCGAGGTTGGTCTGGCCCCGTGATTGGTCACTGCGCCCTCCTCCCATGACGGGCTGAGCCAGTGGAATCCCGATCCTCAGCTCAGAGCTAAAAATCAGCCTCTCCGTCCTAAGTAGCTTCTCCAACGCATTTCTTGTAGATTTGAAAAGTTGACGAATCCAGCCCCATCTTCACTATTAAAACAGCTCTGCTGTGAGGCTCTACAGAGAAATACTGGACTTAATTTTTCTCTTAGGAGATTCTTAAGCATGAAATATTTGGAAAAGTTATATGACCCTTGAATCCTCATTATATGGAGATGAATCTTTTTTTCAGAATTGTCACATACTTTTGGTACATTGCCGTTCTCACAGTCACTTTGCTAGCACTGAAGGTTAACATTTCAAAGCTTTGCAATTTGGTATTTTATGAGAAACACTTTTAGTCTACCAGTTGAGAGGAGATGCTGTCTACGGCCATACCACCCTGAACGCGCGAAGCTAAGCAGGGTCGGGCCTGGTTAGTGCTTGCATGGGAGAGAGGAGATGCTGAGGTTCCGTGCCATGACTGTCCTTTCCATCCGGCAGCTCTCCGCGGTTAGCCATAGTGAGTCTTGGTGGACTCGCCTTTCTGGTGTACTGTGCTGTTCCTCTTTAGTCTGTTCTAAAGCTGCTTCATCTGATACGAGTGAATCTGCTAGTCTTGTTAATATTTACGAAGATACTTTTCTAGCCTCTTAACCTACCGCAGGCTTACAAATAGCAGTATTCTGCAGGCCACTGTATTTCCATAGGTTGTTTAAACCATTTGTATTTAACGTAACTTTTCTTGTGTTAGGATTTAACTGAGTTTAATATTGTTGGCTTCCCCTGGTTCTTGTTCCAGTGTGCGCCCTCCTTTCCTGCATTCCTCGGGTTTAGCTGAATGTGATTTTATTTTCCCATGCTGATGTATCTGCAGTGTTTTTAGCCTGTGTCTCGGTGTTGTTTCTTGGTGTGGTTGTTACAGGACGGGATTTCTCAGCATCGGCATTTGGGGCTGGATGACTGTCAGGTGAGAGTTTGCTGTCCGTGGCAGGGTGTCTGTCAGCGTGCCCGACCCCTGACAGGTGACAGTAACCGTGGAGCCGAGTCTCCTAAGGGGCATGATTACCCCTGACCATTGCTGTCCAAAATTCACGAAGCATGCACACAGCCAGAGTTTTACGGCATCAGCATTTTATCCCTCAAGGCTAAACGTGCCACCTTTCAGTTCCTTTTACCCTCTCTTTGTGAGAGATACCTTAAATAGTACCTTTATGTGCAATGAGCACTACTGCGGATGATACCATTTTTAGAAAGAGCCCACTGTGTTTCCCCGGCAGGTGTCACTTGTGCTCTTTCCTCACTCCCGACATCCCGTGTTTTCATTTGCTGTTTTGGGAAGACTCCCTGTGGCCATGTTTTCAGAGCGAGTCTGTTGGTGACCAGGCATCCTAGTTTCCCCTCACTTGAGAATGTCTTCATTTTCCCTTTATCCCTGAAGGATACTCGGGCTGCGTACAGACTTCTGGGTGACTTGGTCTCTTCTTTTGGCACATCTCTACTTCCCTTTGGACTCCGGACTCTACTTCCTTCCAGCCCAATCCACATGGCTGCACTCAGAAAGGGATGGGAAGCAGAGGCCACCACGATGCTGGGGCAGAGGAGGAGGCCATGGCATTTTTCTGGCTTTGAGCTGCAGTAAGTTTGAGTACTGTAAACTTTTTCTTTTGGGACCACCCTTTCCCATTTTGGGCCAGAAACAGCCGGTCTATCTTGAGGATTTTTTTTAAAGTTAATTTTATTTTTATTGTAAAGTCAGATATACAGAAAGAAGGAGAGACAGAGAGGAATATCTTCCATCCAATGATTCACTCCCCAAGCGGCCGCAATGGCCAAAGCTGAGCCAATCTGAAGCCAGGAGCTCAGAGCCTCTTCCAGGTTTCCCACACAGGTCCAGGGTCCCAATGCTTTGACCCATCCTTGATTGCTTCCCCAGGCCACAAGCAGGGAACTGGAAGGGAAGTGGAGCAGCTGGGATTAAAACTGGTGCCCATAAGGGATCCCAGTGCATGCAAGGCAAGGACTTTACCCACTAGGCTACTACTGTGCTGGGCCCTCATGGGGAATTTGTGTTACAATTTGGTTTTTTTATCATTATTATTTAGTTATTTCCAAAGTGTGGGCATCTCCAGAATCCACAAGAAGAGACATAAAAGTGGAGAGGTGGGGGAGAATAAAACGTGAGAACTCAGCCCTGAGCAGTGCTTGGGTCTGAGCCAGTACACTCAAGGCTTCCAGCTCTCGGGTTCTTCTGTCGGCTGCCTTGTGAGCCTTGTCCAGACTTCTTCAATTACCAGGACTTGGGATTGGATGAGAAACACTCCCTTCTTAGCCACACCTCGTTTCTTTCTGCGCTACTTTGATTACTGATACACTCAAGCTCCTTTGGAGATATCCATTAGCCAGTGGTGAGCTAGTAAATTGGACATATTTTTTTAAATCCCTGATTTATAGCTGATTCCTGTACTGTGAAAACTTCCACAGTGGCCAATTTCAAGCCATTAACGTGACATCACTGAACAAAGAGTAGGGAATTGGCTGTCATGAGCTGGTTCCAGCCGCCTCCAGCATCCCACTGCTGTGACTGCATTTCCATGGATTGCCTGTTCCTGGCCTTGATGTGTTTTGTTTTGTTTTTTCCCCCAATTGGAGAGGTAGAATTTTTACTCCTGATATGTAAGAGTGTCTTTTAAGATAAAGTACATAGCCTAGTGTCACTTCATCTTGATTTTGTTGATATAAGAAGAATTCTGACTTTGAATGTTCAATGTATCCATCTCCCCTTTTGTGAGTTCCACATTCCTGCCATGCCTGAGAAGTCTGTTATCAGGATCCACGTAGAATTCCTTCTGTTTCCTTTGTCGGCTGCTGACAGCTCTCTGATGCTTGCTTTGTAACTTCCTTGGATTCTCGTTGGTGGCAGGCAGTGGGCACATTGTTAACTTTCTGGAACATGCACTCATTTCAGACCCTGAGAAGCCCGTGAGCCCCGAGGAGACGCAGCAGTGTGCAGTACTTGGCGCGTGTGTCTCAGACCCCGTCAGACCCTTCTCACCGGGCGGCTTTTCTATGCAGCCCACCTGCACACCTGTCCAACTAAGAATGCCTCTAAGTGACGGGAGGACCCCAGGGAGCACTGCTCTTTGCTCTCTGCTCTCACCTGCACCAGCAGTAAATGTCCACACAGCCAAATTCTTCAACATCTTCTTTGAAGCCGATTCTGCCCCCCCCCAAAAAAAACCATTTTTGTTATGTTTTTATGAAGCTAAGAAAACATTACCCTTGAAACGTTAGTCACTGAAAAAATCCACATTGCCCATGTCAAGCTGGTGTCTGTCTGGAACTTTTCCGAAACATGTGCTGTAGATTAAGTTCATGGTTTCTCTCCCGTCACACGTGGGGGACTGGGATTGATCGCACGCAGGTGTGAGGGGTGAGTGAGTGGCAGCACAGACTGAACCCACTGATGGCATTCTTCAGAATTGTCCATGCCCTGCCTGCCTGGCATCACACACACGCGCACACACACCTGCTCATCTATTCCAGCCTACCACCTAAACATGCCAGAAGGAAAGAAAACACAGACCCTGCATCGGCCAACCTCACGGTGCTCCATAGGAAACAGTTCGTCTTCCATGAGCCGGGATCTGTTTGGATTTTTACAGCCCAGGACAGTCGAGTTGACCGTGGTGTCACTTCCACCTTCCCGAGCCATTGTTTCCTCCTTGGCGAAACAACCCTTGCAGTGCAGCTTCCCCTCCTAACTCTTCAGCCTCAGGTACTCTCCCCTGAGATCAGTGGCTGGGTAGGAAACACTGTGAGAGGTTGTGCCACCTGTCAGTCTCA